CAGAACTTCTACTGGGAAAGCACTCAGGAGAGGTCTGCTGCTCCGACTGGACTTACAGTACAGGAAAGATGGTTTTCACTAGTTGTAGTCTCAGCCATTATACCAAAGAATGCAAGAGGTTTTGGGGAGTAAACAATGGAAATCTGTCACAAGTCCAACATTTGCAGATTTATGCAAGAACTCCTTTTCAACTCTCAGAGGGAGCTGTTTCTGTCTCAGTGTCTTATAGCATTCTCAGCTTCTGGCTGCAGACAGACGTGGCAGACACAGGGATTTTCCACTGTGTGTGACTGAAGTGTGATTTAACATTTCCTCTCCTCCAGCTGTTCAATACATTTGGTCCAGTTCTTCATGGTTTCGATCTTTATAAGCTAACTGAGCTGCTTTTCATTCTGATCTTCTCTCCATCGTGTTTTTGTCAGTACTTTACTAAATTTCTTTCTCTGTGTGTCTGAGATACCCAGAGTAACAAACCAGATGTTGAATGTCTGGGGCACACATTAATGCTCGATGCTGTGTCCTTCTTCTCTAATCTCTCATTTTTACCACTAAATTTCCTCTGTCCTTTATTATTTTCCACCACTTTCCTCCCCTTTCTCATGTCTCCTCTGCTTTCTAATATTTCCTGTCTAGTGGCTGGAAATTAAAACAAAGTTCCTGTATTTCATACTATATACAGCTACAATATTCAAGTCATCACAATCTCTGAATTCCCCCCTTAAATTTTTATTAATGTTCTTTAAATGTAGAAAAAACAATCATTTGATCACAGCAAGCAAAACCGGTATCAGGTGCATATGAGCATCTGAATATTATTTTAAAGTGGAACTACACTAATTTTATACTTCAAAGTGTGAAGAAAGTGGTGTAAAGCCTCTTGTTATTCAAGAGATTGCATTAAGCCTGGTAAACATCCTGAAATGATGTCACTTGAGTCAGTGCTGCTTGGGTCTGAGGACTGTAAAAAATGAAACATCTGGCAGTGTGGAATTTGAAAAAGATGAGTGTAAGCCTGAGGCAAATCTGAAGAAGATGAAATCTACAAAGACTGGACAAACTTTACAGAAAGATTGTTTCCACCAGCTTTAACAGATTTTTAGCCTTTGACTAAAAAGGAGCTTTGAATTCTTATTGAGTAAATATACTAAACACCATGCTTCTAGTCCGTGATAACTAGAGAAAGAAACTTTAAAGTTTGGGTGGGATGAACTTTGCAAAATGATGCTGACTTCAAGTTATGGAAAGTTATTGGTCTTTACAAAAACCAGTCATATATAATGTTACAGGTCCATTCAGTGTGTCTCCTTTGTCAGCTGTCTGTACATGTTTTTAATTCTGTCATACCTTGACACTTACACCAATCAGCGATAACATTATGACCACCTGCCTACACAGGAGTCAATGTGACAGTTGGCTGGCACTCAGCTCACTGTGCATCTTCGGTGAATCTGTTTGTTTTCATAGTTTTACTGTCTGAAAGAGCACAGATGGGTCGACCAGTTAGTGATAGAAAGATGTTAAAGGAGTGAAAACCCTGGTTGTGATGACAAGTAAGAGATAATTGTGTAGATCAGGCAAATCTGAAGAAGATGAAATCTACAAAGACTGGACAAACTTTACAGAAAGATTGTTTCCACCAGCTTTAACAGATTTTTAGCCTTTGACTAAAAAGGAGCTTTGAATTCTTATTGAGTAAATATACTAAACACCATGCTTCTAGTCCGTGATAACTAGAGAAAGAAACTTTAAAGTTTGGGTGGGATGAACTTTGCAAAATGATGCTGACTTCAAGTTATGGAAAGTTATTGGTCTTTACAAAAACCAGTCATATATAATGTTACAGACCAAGAACACCCACCAAGACCTGCAGCGTGGGAGATGCTCTGACCCAGTCATCTCACCATCACAGTTTGGCCTTTGTCAAAGTCACTCAGATCCTTACACTTGCCCATTTCCTGCTTCCAACACATCAACTTTGAGGACTGAATGTTCACTTGCTGTCTAATATACCCCACACACTGACAGGTGGTACTGTAACAGTCAGTGTTATTCACTTCACCTGCCACTGGTCATAATGTTAAAGTATAAATCATCTTTATGTGCCTCAGTAATCTGTAGCAGCGTTCAAAAACTCAAGTCTGTTTTTTCTTGTTTCTGTGTAGTTAAACTGAATGTGTTCTAGCATTTAGACTCTTTTAGAGCTTTCAAGACCCTGAGGGAAATTTGGTTACGACCTATCTGTGTGTCCTCTGTTAATGGGTAAGTCTCATAAAAAGAGCAAAACCACCAAAGAAGTTATCCTAGTGTGCTACATCTTTTCCTCAGAGCTCCATTATTGTCCAGAAGCTAACTGAAAACACATCAGTGAGACACACTGTTGCACTGGCTGTCACATTCCCTCATCACCATCAACACACACTGTATTTAGTTTTGACTCAATTCCACTTACACCGTCCTGCTGCCAGAAGTTCTCTCTGGAGCTCCAGAGTTGGATTAATACTCTTGTTTGAGTTACACTTGCCAAAATCTAATGTGTTCAGCTGTTGCTGAGCTTTGAAACATGAATTCTTTTCATGATAGATGTTGATAAATAATAATAATAATAATAGTAATATAAAATAACAGCAACCTGGTGGGAGAATAGAAATATTTCAGTGTCAAACATAAAGCATACAGTCATGTCCTCTGACAGAAAATAGTGCACCTGATGAACCCATTATCATTTTTGCTTCTGATTCACTTTGATGACGCTGAACTTGTGAATTCTCCCATGTCTGATCTAAAGGTCATTCTAACAGATTGGCCAGATACATTTGTTTTCATGTTCAGTTGAACTATCTGGTGTCCACAGAAGTCACTCTGGCCTCATTGTGAGTTTTGACCCAATTGTTTGTGTTTCCTTCCTTCACTTCATCTTTCCTTTCCTCTTATCCACCATTTTTTCTTTTCCTTTCCTTTTCCTTTCCCCCAGTCCACCAACTTCTTTAACGGGTTTTCTGCAACCTTCTCTAAATCTTTAAATTCTCCTATAAGTGAAAATAGAAATAAGTATATAATTATAATTGTAACTTGCATGAGTTTTTATGAACCACATGTTGTGACCTCCATCATAACCTCCCTTCTTTTCCTTGTCTTTCTCTATTTCTTGTTCTTTCTTTCTTTGTTTAGAGTAGCTCGGTAACAGTCAGACGTCTATGTAGAGACTACTGCTATCTATAAAGCAGCCATTATTCAATATGTTTGTGTGTGTGTGTGTGTGTGTGTGTGTGTGTGTGTGTGTGGATTGTAAAGCAGTTGTTATGCTCACTGAACTAGGACACCATCCTTAGCGTGTGTTTTGTGGAGTCTCTGTGGCGCCTATGCTCTCAGACATTTAGATTAATTGGGAGAAAGTCTGACAGTTGCAGGGAACACACAGATACATTCATAGTGCTTGGTGAGTATTTGAGTATGCAGCTGATGTGAATGGGTATCTTTCTTCTGCATCTTGCTTACTCTGGAAGGTTTTGTGTGTGTCTGTGTGTCAGGTCAAGTAGCAAGTCCATTAGCTACCCCATGTCAGAGGGTGCAGGAGCGGAACAAAGGGCTCATAAACTAGTCCATGAACCAGAGGTATTAACTCCCTATGTGCTCTCCTGCTGTTATTGTTATAAATGTGTGTATTTTATATAACTGCACTTTTATTGTTTTGCTCTAAAGACCACTGAGGTGAACTGAACCAAACCAGAGTGAAATGAGACAGAATGGCTCCTTGTGTTGCAGTCTTATCAAGCACTAGCCCCCGAGTTTGTGTAACTGAATCACTGTGGGCTGTTTAACATGTGGACGCTCTGGTCTGGGCTCTGAGCATTCTCAATCTGAGGTTCACCAACACTGAACTGGAGCTGATTTTCCACCCTGGGATTCTTCCAGTGGCTCAGCTGCTTCCAGGAAAACTAAATCAACCCCAGAAGTCAGGTCCACAGCAGGCAGGACAGGCAGACTAGAGAATGAAAGAGAGAGGGCGAAAGAGTGGAGAGAGACCTTCATCTTTTTGACACATTTTATTATAAATTAACAAAACAAAAAGAGAAACTTGCAGTAAAGCAGTTGAAATCAACCTTGTCTTGGGAGTTTTTACAAGTAAAGCAGTGCATGTGTTAGTTTGATAACTGTTTTAAATGAATGAACTTCAATGGTAGATGAAGCACTAACAGTACCAGAGTTAGATCTTAGGACTGGAACATCACTGGACAGCAGTGAACGGAAAGTCGCACCCATGCTAGGCAGAATAAAAACTTAAAGTAGATTTTGATCATACAAGACAATAGACTGCCGCATCACAGGCATAGCACTGACGTTAGGTGCAGGACATACAGTATAAAGACTGTACTGGTAGTCACCAGAATCAGTTTGTTCTCTCTGGAACCGGACACTGCCTGTTACATACAAGACTGATTTGACCTGATATTACATTTTAGATTTGGCCCCTTTATAGTAGTTCACTGGTAGCATTTTTGGAAAAGATGCTTAGTAGCTTAAGCTTTTATAGAAACATATTATGAATATGGGATTTATGAATTAACAACAGTAAAATGAATTCAGGGTTACATTAAGGGCAAACGCCATCTTGTAACTCCATGTTTTATTACAAACTACTCAAAACAGATGAGGATGAGCCCAATGTCTAGTTCCTGTATCTTCCAGATTTCATACCTCCATTTAAGTTTTTAGTAGTTGGAGCATAGAAGAAAACCCAGTTTGTGAACTTTTTGCACCCCTAGTTTACACGAGATGCTGTTAAATGTTTGTAGTCTTAAAGCTGAAGCTAAGTGAAGCAAAGCTATGGCCCTGATGTTAATCCATTACAAGACCACTCCAACTGTTTTCCAGCTAAATATTGCTTTCTGGGGCTAGTGCACTATGAAACATCTGACAGATAAGGTTCCAAAATAACCTCACAGAAACAGAAATCAAATATTTTGCAGTTATCCTTCAATCCCACATCACATGATCATCACATGACTTCTATTTCCAAGTACTGAACTCACCGAGGGTCATTACAGAAACCAAAGCCTGCTCTGTGTATACTGGTGGAAAGTTTTCTCTGCATTAAGAATTATTTTTGCAAAATAAGGTTTGTTTAATCTACTTAAATGCAGATTTTCTGGAAGAATGAGATTAACCGAATAGCTACTGGCTTTTCTCAAACCACTGATGTACGGTTAAATATGGAAGTGAACTGCTGAGCTTGCTCCACAGTGGTTTCTCCACCAGTGTTAATATGCAGAGGAACAGCTTTACAAGGTTTTTCATAAATCTGAGGAAAAGTGCCATTTGAAGAAATGTATATACATTTATTTCAGTTCATTAATTATGGCCCTTGGGGTTTGACTTTATTTCCACTTGTTTTGTGACTTCTCTTTGTGAGGTAAGCACTGCTCTGTACCATTAAGGTACAGGTGATCATAAAATAAAGTTTAAGTGAGCTGGTAAGAGCATCATAACTGAAGGCGGTCTTATGTGATCGAAGTGTAACGAGTGCCTCATAGAAGGCTAAAAGCAAAAACCAAAGTGGTTTTGTTCATTTTAAGTCTTACAGCATAAACACTACTGCTCTTCAAGTGATGCATAACGTAAAATGAGTAATAGCGTTTAGTTTAGAAAATAACATAACACAAAAGTAGACACAAGCAGACATTAATTCGGCTGATTTGTGTAAGTGATCTGACATTCACATCTCCACCTTCTTGACAAAAAAAGATTCATCTCCTCTGGCTGAAATGAAATGTTCCTCATGGTATATTTCAGGTTCCATATAGTCCCTTTTCTTTTTATTAAATCAATCAAAGATTACCTTGTTGAACTTGGTGTGACAAATAGGGGTGTAATGAAACTAAAAAAGTAGAAACCGCAAAACAAGACAAAAAACAAAAAAACTGTGATACCAGAAGATGGAACCAGTACCCGCCACCCCAAAAAAACCTAAACAAAACAAAACAAGAAAATATGAGGTAACCAAAGTGTGGATTATAGATGGCTGGTTAATACTGATGTTGGTGTGTGTGAGTATGGTAGTGCAGCAGCTGAGGTCAGTACTAAAACAGATTCAGTTAGAGTGAACCCACAGTCAGTTAATCACAAAACACTGGTCACATTCAGTTTTCTTGTTTTTTCTGTCCTCGGCTTTGTTCTGACCCATTGCTGCTGTCAAACCATCATTTCTTCCATTACTTCTACTAATAAGCAAAGATAAGATCATACATCATCTGCTGTCCATTGTCCCATGCGTACAGTTTCTTATCCAGGGGACAGTAAGCCAGCTGGGAGGTGTGCTCGTACATGTTCGTGAATGCCAGGCTTGGCACGGTGTGTGTGAGTGTGTGTGTGTCAAAGGCGTATGTCACATTGGCGTAGCGACGCGTCATACTGTCCACAGCGTAAAGCACGCCACAAACAAGGAAGCTGTTTCCGTAGAGACCACGTCGGAGGCCTGTGCGAAAACTGCGTACCGGCTGAAGGTCTTGGGGACGCAGGTGGGTGAGCAGGATGACTTCCTGGTGGAAGCCCTCTGTGTCCAGAGCAGGGTAGAGTAACCACAGGCCCGACTCGTCCACCGCAAACTCCACCTGGGACAGAGAAAATGCACTCATTGAAATGGCTCTTTAGTCTTTATTGCCTTTATCTTTTATTGCCTCACTACCACTACTACTACTGGTACTACTGGCAGTATGACAGGTACCATGGCTACTACTACTGCTATCACTAAATATGCTGAAAATATTACTATAACTGCAATAAAAAGGTATAGTCTATAGTTTACCTTGATTTTTGTCTGTTTGCATGTTACAGTATCATTTTTATCTAGTTTCTTTTTATCCCATTTTATTTTTGTGGTAATGCATTACTTCATCATATGTAAAACCCTTTAACTGACCCTGTGTCTGAAAGGTGCTAAACAAACTAAGCTGCCTTGCCTACCGACACCGCTAAAGATGCCTGATTAACATGGTGCATCTCAATTGCTTAATTCTTTCACAAACAAAAATATAAATACAACAGTTTGTCATTTTAAAGGCCATTTCACAGCCAGGAATGTCACAACGACATTCTCAGGCACTGATACTGAAAACCCAACTGGAGCCAGATATACTACACAGACAACAGACAGTAACAGATAATGCAAACCCCCACCCACCCCCGCCATAGTGTTGATCTTCTCATCTCACTCTTGGAATCAAAAACAGTGCTTGGATTTAGTGTTTTGTTCCCCTCACTGACCTTTTATGACACTTTAAAATGTTCCAAGTGTATAATCCTCCAGTAAATCATCAAACTGTGTTACCTCACAGTTACCACACACACACATAACCTTACTTCGGTTTGTGTCCTTTGAGTTTGCTCCTCCAGTAAAGCATCGTCCAGTGTGGTCCAGGCAGCAACATATCGGTGTCTCAGGTCATATCTGATGATGTCCCTGCTGAATGCACGATTGTAGTAGAAAGCCCCGTTATAAACAACGTGGCCTGTTCCAGTGAAGCTGTAGGGCAACTTGTACGAACTATGCCTCTGACCTGAGTAGGAAGAACAAGCAGGAAGATGGTCGTGCTCACAACACACAACAGGATGCTTAGGACAAGAGTAACCATGACTGTGTATCAAGGCATGAGCCATCCATCTACTCTCTATAGAAATTATTTTTCTAGTTTAGTTTTTCGTCTCATAAAATGCTTCTTCACTCATGTACAGAACAGAAGTGCAAGACAAATCAACAGCTCCAAGTCTATCCAAAACAAAACACACCCAAACAGAAGTGAGAACAACAGGACACAAATGGACCAGAAGAAGGTCCTCTACACGGGTACGACTGCACACAGCTTACTGGGTTGGCCTGCCTGGAAATAAATTCTGGGTTTATTCCCATTTGCACACTCAAACACCTCCTATACCTGATTTGAAAGCGTCCATGTCTCGGAACTCAAGGAGGTTGTTGCCATAGTGTCCAATGGTTAGGTAGATGACGCTACCATGGCCACGAGCATCTCTCATCCAGGCTCCGTCACTCAGACCATAAGAGTTCTGCTGGAGCGGTTCGGAGATGCTGGCTACTGTGTCCTTGCACACTGCTGCAGGAGCACACAGGGAAGGTGACACAGTTAATCCAGGCTCATACTTGCTTATTACAGCTTTAATAATTCTAAAATATGTGCACTCACTGACTGATAAACTGAACTATGTGTATCGCTACCAGATCTTTTGGTGGGCCTTGGTTGGTCAGCCAAGCTCTCTGTCCAGCTGAGTCGACTTTTTTGTCCCGGCCGAGACTCGGCTGTGGGAGATGTATTTATGGGTGGAGCTATACCGGTGGTGGTATGCTGAGTGACAGGGGTGGTAGGCTGAATTCTAGCAGTCGTAGTTTGCTGGGACGTAGTTGTCAGTTTGGTTGTCGTTGGTTTTGGAGTTGTTGTAGTAGTTAATTCACTCTTTGGTTTTATGGCGAAGGGAGCTGGGTTGGCTGTGGTTGTGATTTGGTGAGTGGTGGTGGTGGTGGGGGAAGCTGTTGGCTGCTGGGTGGGTGCAGGACTGCTTAGTCTCCTTGACAGATCCTTGTAGTCTGGTTCATTGCTAACAGTACGTGCAGGTCTTGGATTCTGGTTAGGGACAGTCCTAGCAGTTGAGAACTGCTCAGAGATCAGTAGATCCACTAAAGTACTGGCAGGTAGAGTAGCTGTAAAAGGAGGAAAATGAGATAAGAGAAGACAGTTTAACACATATTTTTTACTTCAGCTAACTAGTAACTGTGGCAGTTGTCAGCATGTAACATAGTAACATCACACATACCATTCTTTCCTGTCCCTCTCTCATTCTCCTTATGGCTCTCCTCCACTGCCTTGTAAAAGGTCACGCCCCTGATGACCATGCGTTTCTTGTCTTTGATTGGCTGCCTTGGCTCTGTCTTCTCTTTGATTGGCTGCCTTGGCTCTGTCTTCTCTTTGATTGGCTTTTGACTTCCTGTCTTATTCCTGGATGGCTGTTGTTGTTCCAGACCATCTTGCTGTTGGTTCTTCTTCAGTGGACGGTCAGAATTCTTCTGCAACATTACAAGCAACATTCTGTCCAGTTTATAAAAAATATGGGTTTTGTAGCTGAGAGAACAATATTTTTATAAAACAGATAAGATGTCAGAGTGTGTCTTTGCTTCTGATCTGTTAGACACATTTTCAGACTGGTAATACCTCCTTGTTCGCGTAGGCAGGTGCTCCACTTTTCTGTCCTGCACGTTCCAGATCATTCACTTTGGTTTTTTTCTGCTGGGTCTTCTTCTCTTTCTCCTTTTCTTTTGGTTTCTCCTTCACACATTCTTTCTCTCTTGTCCTCCTTGTAAAATTATGGGCAAAGGCCTGGAGTGTGCACACAGGATGAAATGAAGGGTAAACTTTACTGTTAACATTATGTGCAAACTGCATCAAAATACATGGTTTCCTTTAGGCCCAGTCCAGCTGTCTTAGACAACCAATAACACCACATCACTGATGAATTAAATCTGTTCGATTGATCTCCAACAGCAGGAAGACGACACTGCTCTTCATCAGCAAGCTTAACTAGCAGCAGTGTTGTCCATTTGGCAGGAAGCATCAGGAGACATGGAAAATGCTCTCTCAATGGAACTCTATCACTGTCAGCATCACTGATGCTATAAGCGACCGCTCACTGTGAACAGTCTTATTTGATTATATTAATTACAAATGATGATAACATAAATTATGGCTATTTGTTTTAGGAAGTTTTCTTACTAATCTTTCTGCCTCAAAATGTCCTTCCTGAAGATGCCACGTCACTAGTTTCCTAAATGAATCCATTCTGCCTGTGAGACAATGGCAGAATATAATATGTAATTTAGTCCAATCCAAGCCACAGTCAGTTATGGGTAAGGTTTCTCTCCATCTACTTGTGGTTTTCTTCATTATAGAGAACAGGTTGTTTAAGTACTTTGGGGCATTTTATGCCTTTATAAGATAAAGTGGAGACATGACAGGAAAAGACGATACAAATGTCCCTGGCCAACACTGCAGTTGACGGTCAGCACCATCAACCCTGAGACCGCTATGCCACTTGTTCTGCGTTAGGAGGGACATTCCCGTTATACAAGATAATAATATACATCAATCTACCATTAACACAGAATCCTATTGAAATGTACAACAGAGTGCATAAGGCATGCAAAGAGTTGCAATGAAGTCTGAGGACCTTCAAACTAATACAAAAGAACTACATTTATACATTCAGCCTAAAATTGCTGTGAGCACACTGTTAACATTACTGATTAATCTAAATGAGCCTATCTAAAAATCTAAAAAGTTCGATCATTTTGATTAAAGCAATAGTGAGAGTAACAGGACACTTTTTAGTGAGTACATAGAACTGTATGATTGAAAAATGAGGAACCATGTGGAAAATATACTCTGCACACACAAGTGTGTGTGTGCATGTGTGTGTTTGCATTTGTATGGCTACATATGTTGAGGACCAGTTTGAGTTTTAAACCATTGGAGTGAGGACATTTTGGTAACAATCTCACACAGCTTCAAAGGAATAAGACTTGGTTTTAGTGTCAGGTTTAGTTTCAGGTTAGGTGTTAGGGTTGGGCATTTTGTTGTGATGGTTAAGGTTATGTGTTAGGGTAATGGGCTAACGAATGCACTGTATCAACGAGCGTCCTCACTAAGATAGCTGTACAAACATGTTGGTGTGTGTGTCTGTATACGTGCGCCCTCACTTTCTCCATGTTGTCTATCTTGGTCAGCAGTTTGGTAGTGACAGAGTGGAGTTTTAACAAGTCCATTCCATACAGAGAGCCTTCCAACAGGTCCATGATAGTTGCCAGCTTCATAGAAACAAATAAATGACACAGAGAGTTAAACAAGGACAGAGAAAGAAAAACTATTATTGGGGACAACATCTTTTCCTAAAGCCTCTCAACTCAATCAAAACATTAGTCTGATACCTATAAGAGTCACAGTGACAAAGTTCCCACATGGTGTGTGTTTCTACCTTGATGTTATCCTTGCCGGCCTCCTGTAGTTTTTTAAACCTGTATTCTCCCTCACAGGGGTTGACAGCTGAAGGTGGAGCCATACACACACACTTCTTGCAGTCCGTCCCCTTGGTAACCGTCTCCACGGTGTAAAAATCTTGAGACAATGATGCTGTGTCGCTGTCATGGACACGGCTGCAGTCAGAGCGTTTGATAGGTCGAACGATGCAGCGACACACGCAGTCGGACCCTGACGACACAGTCTTCACTTTATCATAATCACCCAGCAACTGAAAGAGGGAGGAAGTTTGTTTTATTCCTTCTCTCTATATTTTTCACTTTACTCAGGTAAATCAAGCTTTAAATTAATAATACAATAAACTTTAATATGAACGTATAACCAACACTTTGTCAAGGGTGTGAGGGGTCTGCAGAGGATCACTGCTGACCCCTCACACCTCAGATACAATCTGTTTGAACTCCTCCCCTCTGGAAGGCGTTACAAGTCACTGTGCACTAAGACAACCAGGCACAGAGACAGTTTCTTCCCCCAGGCCATCAGTCTGATGAACACTTAACCAATGACAGTATGACTGGACAATAACCCTCAGTCCAACACCTGTAAATATACATTGTACAGATTATACAGCTTCGTACAGGTCTCTATTTTTAAGTACTCTGTTTTTATTCCTATTTATCTCATTT